CAACGGCAGCTTCCACTGGAGCGACCGCGACGCGGCCGTCCCCTCCCCCAACCCCGCCCGCCCTTTGGTAAGCTGGTACAACGACCCCTCCCGCTCCCCCGTCTCCTACCTCGGCTACGTCCACAGCACGGACGGCACGAAGCACCTGCTCAGCGCGTCCGACGATAACATGGTCCGGGTCTACCGAGAGAGCCTCAGCACGGGCAGGGGGAATGACCCGTATCAGCTGTGTAACGTGCTGCCGAACGTCTTCTCGCGGGGGCTTGCCCTGCGCTGTGGGTTTTGGCGGGGACGGAAAGGAAAGTCACAGCTGCCTACTTTCCTCGATGACGAGGAGAAGGACGGCGAGATGCCGGTGATTCGGCGCGTGATGGAGTCCGATCTGGTGGTGGCCGGGGGCCCGGACAATAAGGCAACCGTTTTTGACATTACCGAGGATGGCAGTGCGGAGGTACTGGAGTATTTGGAGGGGCATCGCGATCGCGTCACCGGTGCCGCCGTCTACAAATCGGGAAATTATCCTATCATCGCAACAACCAGCGCCGATTCCATCGTGCGTATCTGGGTTCCTGCTAAAACTTAAATAAAGAGGAACCAATCAAAGTATCCACCATCGCGTTTATTTAAACTTACAGCCGACTTTAGGTATTTTTTGCTATGCCTAGATGCGGCACTACCATTACCTTTCTTACTATCCATGGCAACTTTGACATCTCACCTCTATTATTGCTGCAATCGTCATTTCTATTGTTAAGCGAAGGGGATCGCAATAGAGAGGAGAAGGCAAAAATTAACTTAAGGGGTTCATATTGCACATCCTCATCAGACGCTCTGATCAACGCTACAGCAGGAGCCTAATTTCTAGCATGACAAGGAAGCGACGACAAGCATCATGAGTTGATGTTTTATCTAACCATTTTTCTCCTGTGTGGAGCGAGAGCGCTTGGGAAAGGGATTATGTGTATGGACAAAAGACCAGAAGTTACTAATGCTAATTCATCTTGAGTAACTCGATCTCTTTTTTTCATTCTTTCCTATTCAGTCCAAACATCCCCTGATGGATCGTGGTACACTTATTCTGTATACATTTATCACAAAAAAAACATTATTATGCTTTTGTCGAAGCTATTTTTGACTCTACGCGCCCTTCGATGGTGTCCTAATTATTATTTTTTCATTGGGTATTAATTCTTACTCAAGTATTGGTGGTGCTTGTACTTTTTTAATCCTAATATCTTTTATAATTATATATATATATATATATATTAAGGTAATAGTTAGGTTTGCAAAGATCACTAATTGATTTTAATGTCTAATTGGGCTGAAGGAGTGGAGAAGGACGTCATTTATGAAGACGGACGGGAGAATGACTTCTACGACGACGACGATGACGACGACTTCGACGAGGAGGAGGAGGAGTTTATAGATGAGGAGGAGCTCTGGGCGAATGCCAAGTTAGTTCGAAAGGTCGAGGCGGACGTGGATGGGAACCAGTTCGAGGTGATCAAGAAGGTTCGACAGTACCACGTGGATCGCCCGATCACTGAAGTCGACCTCCGCGCGGGGTTGAAACGCTTTGGCAAGGCAACCGCGGATCAGTCCAACATCGTCTCGAAGGAGCCCCCGCTTGCTTTGGAGCTCGGCGCCGTCGACCAGTTCGAGCGGGAGAGCCGGAACGAGGTGAAGCGTCTCCTGCACGAGGTCGGAAATACCGAGGTGAAGGTCAACGACTCCCACCTCCAGATTATTGTCAAGGAGGAGCACCTCAAACGGCAGGCGGAGATGGCGAACGCGCTCAAGACGGATGCGGGGAATCGGGAGACAACTTGGGGGTCAAACCGAACCAACGCCCCGAAGGAGCGCGACTCGCAGGACTTTAAACGACGTGTGCGCGTCACCAATGTCGGGGACAACATCACGGAGGATAATTTGCGTAATATTTTCGGCTCGGACGGCGCAGTCGTGGAGCGGGTTTACCTGCCGCGAGATCGGGATACGAACCAAAATAAGGGCTTTGCCTTTATAACTTTTAAGGAAGTCTCGATGGCAGAACAGATTCTTAAGCGACATGACTATAAGTTTAAGAATGTTGTGATGCATGTGACGAGGGCTTTGGAGCTGAAGCAGTGATGGAGGGATCGGGCGTTGGGGTGCTTTTTTTCGGTTTTGAGCCTACTGTAATAACATAAGACTGTCGTAAAGTAAGGCAAACTCATCCTAAACATTCAGTGCCATTTATTGTTTGAACTATTGACAGGAATCATATTAATAAAAAAAAACTTAGACCACTTTTTTTCATGCTACTTCGTCTGATTTTTTTTGTTCTTGAGGATTATCTGTTGCGAGCGTTTGAATTTCTTCTCCTTTCTTTCATTTATTTTTGTGTATACTAAACACGGAAATTAAAAATAGTCATCGAAGGGAAAAAAGCACACTTTTCCTTTTTCCATTTGTTCGATTGAAATAAGAAAAAAATTGCTTAATCCGTTATACTTTGTTATAATAATGAATGAACAAGTGTTAATACAACGAATCATAAACAGTTCGAAGGACTATTATGACGTTTTACAGGTTGACAGAGATGCAAGCCCGTCAACCATTCGACGGAGCTACTACAAACTTAGTCTCAGGCTTCACCCTGACAAAACCCTTGACAATAATGAACAGTCTAAACAGGCCTTTCAAATTGTTTCTAGAAGTTATGAGGTTCTGAGAGATCCCACCACACGTGCGATTTACAACCGGCTCGGCGCAAACGGCCTGGAAAGCTTCCAGAGTGTTTACGATGATATGCCGAGTGCTTTCGAATTTATCTTGATGTTTGTGAGAATATTTCTGCTTAAACTTATTCAACATGCCGCGTGTCGCATGGGCGCTAGCTCTCTCATAAAACATATTAAGTTTTCCTTTTTCAACCCCTCGAGCGGTGAAAAAGAGTTTTATATCCAATGCAGCGAAGAGTGGGTTCATTTTCGTCGACGCGTGGTGAATTGTTTTGTGGGAGTCATAGCCTTTTTCTTGATTCTGCTCAGCTTCGATCCGATTTATGTGTTTTTCTACGGTGCGGGTTTGTCGAATCATCCTATTGGCGCAGAGGAAACAAAGGATGTTTTATTCTTTGTTTCCCCCTTCAAAGGTTCAAGAAAAGTCTATAATCGGGAGGAACCTTTGTCAATTTATCCTACTTGTTTTCTCGAGGCAGACTCTCGATCGTTTATTGTTTGTCATGAGCGTCTTTCATTATTGGAGCGGTTGGCTAGTGATACCAAACAACCGCTGGAGAAGTGGTTTGTGGAGAGGTACACAGAATCTGAAGAGGCTGTGAGGGTTTCATTTTACACCTTTTTAACGGCAGAATGTGAGCGGGAGGAGCTTTTAATTTGGGCTTCGCGCGAGCGCTTTGAACAAACCGCCACACTACGTCGTAAACTACAACCGTTAAACATGAATAACCCAAACCGACTTCCAAAGCGTAAGTATCCAGAAAAAAAATGGTATTCTAGGTTTCACGAAAGTTTCTCCGTGGCGAAAGCGGAGGAGTTATACCACCCTTTACCATTTTGCGAGCAGTTGTGGAGACAAAGACCTTTAGTTGGTGTGGCTTAATGTTGGTTATTGGTAACTGCTTTATTCTCGCTTGATTATTGTGAAGTGTGCTAGGGTGAAGTTGTATGGAATGGGGAGTATTTTTCTTTTGGCTGGAGTGGAATTATTGGTTTACACCACCACCTCCTCTATTCTTCTTTTTCCACTGGAAGCGTTACACAGCAATCATCTCAGTATGCCTTTTTTCTTATGAGGATGCTTAAAAAAATATCATATATATATATATATGTATACGCGTTATAATTACTATAGAAGTGTTTTTGTATTATTTCTTATTTACATTCATCACTGTTGTGTTTCTCCAAAATATCTGAACATTTCCCCCCCTTCTCTCTTTTATTCGACCAAAAATGGTTATGAAAATCTATACTCGTACGATTTTTTTGAAGGCAAATTTTTGATTTTGAATTTTTTGAGGGCGATATATATATCTACATATATATTAATTAATTAATAGAACTATTGTACAGACTAATTAGTTTCATAGCCTTGACAGGAAATTTTTAAGATGAATCCATTTAGCATAGCATTTGGGAAATTCAAACAAATCCTCGAAATACCACCTGTTTCCGAGTCGGAAGCCAGTCGAATCCTCTTATTTGTGTTCACTAATAGTGTTGCTCTCTCGGTGTGGTATAGCAACGTGTGGACACCCTTTATCTTCACAAGCTTCGGGGAAAGTAATCTTTTGGTAGGACTGATGGCTGCGATCAACGGAATTTCCGAAATGTCAATGGCGATACTGAGTGGATTCCTCGCGGATAAGGTGTGGGGACCGTCGCGGACCTTGCAGATTGCCCAGCTAATCGGTATGTTTGCGTTCACTGTTTTTTTAATTGGAGTCTGGTTGTCCAATATCTACCTGCTCGGAGTTGCCCAGTCCTTGGAGGGTGCTTACATGGGCTTTAGCTTTACCAGTGTGGAGTCTGTCTTTGCGCAGTGTTTGCGTACGGGTGAGCGAGATTGGCTTTATAGCGTGAAGTTCAGTCTTGAGTCCTCGGGACCGATTGTGGGGCTTTGCCTGACGATCATTCTTTTCATTATTTTCGGCAATCAATGGAATTTAAGGGTTTTACAGTTGATGATGACTACTGGGTTATGCTTGAATGTTGTCTCCATGCTAACCTTTTTGTGCACTTTTAAGCCGCTTCCTCATCATATTGATAAAAAGGTCACCCATAAGAGGATTAATGTTGTTGTGTTTAGCGACATGGCCAATAAGGATGCAAAGAAGGTGCTTGAGCATGGGCAGGAGGGTGATCATCAGGTGAGCGACGAGGGCATCTCGTCTAAAGAGGAGTATGTTGGACAGAAAAACGAGCACGTCGCCGTGGATTTGCGTGAAATCTCCATCAAGAGTGCACCGAATCAATCCTTTATTAATCCATGCCCGGGCTTCAGTGAGGCTGACAAAATCAATAAAAGCTTCGCGGGCTCTCATAGGGCTTTAGATTCTGCTGTTGTCGGTCCTGAGGGGGTGGGATATGTGGAGTTGGATAGCAAGTCATTATATCCACCTAATTCCTCTAGCGTGTTTGAGGGGAAGGCGGTTAACAAAGACGACAACCTGCCCAATTCTACGCGCCTCTTGTTAACTCAGAACAAAAATTGCGGACATCTGGACCCCGATCCCAACGCTAATGGCGAAGCGCGTAAAGATCCATCTCAACCAGGCCCCGTACGAAAGCTATGCTACATCGACATCGAGGCCGAGGAGGCGAAAGGGTGCCGTCGGAAGATTCTCCGGTGGATTCCACTTTCATATTATCCTTACGTATTGATAGTTTTCGACGTTATCATTGTGTTTGGTAGCGGGATGACGGTGCAGTACTTTACTCTGTTCATGATGAAAATCTACGATGTCAGCCCCCTCGAGATGGCGACGTTGAGCCTCTTCAGCGCAATGACGATTATGGGGTTGGCGATGCTGTGTGGGATAATTGCGAAGCGGTACGGCCGCGTGCGGACGATTTTACCCCCGAAGTTCATCGCGACAATGATTTTATTGTGGATGGTGCTCGCCCGTGGGAGGAAAGGGGGGGTGAAGGTGTGGATGTGCGTCGCGTACATCCTTCGCGGGGCCTTGATGAACTGCTCGGCGGGGCTCTCGCGGGCGATAGTGATGGACATCATCCCAGATCATTACCACGGCCGGTGGAACGCGATCGAGTCGATCCAAAGCGCAGGGTGGTCGGGCACCGCCTTTCTCGGGGGATTTCTCGCGGACCGCTGGGACTACGGCGGGGCTTTTATTGTCACCTTTTGCTTTCATTTCGTGAGCTGCATGCTGCTGCTGCCGCTGACGCTGCGGAACGATACGCGGATGCTGGTGGCTCGCGAGGTCGACGATGCGGCGAGAAATTCAAGCCCAAACTCTACGGAGATCGCCGCGGAACGACAAGATGGCGACCACCACGGCGAAAAAAGCATCGCCGCAGCAGACAAGCCACCCATCGCGACAAACAACATTTCCTCAAATGACTCCGAGTTCTCGGGCCGTAGTTTAGGCTAATGCTTTTTTTATGTGATTCTCAGGTTTAAAAGGGATCTATTTTCTTTAGGTGATGCCATACGAATCCTACCCCAATGCTGTAAGGATGCCTTACCGCTACCTTTTTTAATATCTGAGTAAGATACAATTTCAGAAGGCGCAAAATTTTTATTTAACCAACATTTTTTTTTTTATATCATCTGTGTTTGTAATTTTTATATTTGTATTGTAATCGACAACTTTTCATTTAGGGTGGTGTGCGCTTCTGATTCAAGTTTTTTTTATAAGTTGCGCTATTTTCTTTTCATCTTTTCTCCATTTTCCTGTAAAATATCTTATTCTTAGACGGCTGTCCCTTAACTTCTTCAAGATCCTTTAATAAGAGATTCTTGCAAGACTTCCGTTTTCATCTGTATACATGATGTATGGGAAGGCTTCGTGCTTTGTCCCCTCTGCTTCATGTTGCGAGACCTGTAATATGCTAATTATAGGTAGCTGATAGAACCTTGAGGGAGACATACCGCCGCTGGGGTTGAGGCAATGATGTATTCTAATGCATAACGTGGCTTAGTCCCCAATTGTTCCTCCCGATATTTATTAAAGAAAATTTGTAGGTTTTTTTAATTAATCAACCAAATAATGGCATTTGCAAATTCACTAAAGTTTTTCTCTGATATGATCTGTTGTGTTCTTTTATTTTCATATCTTATTTTAAATCCATGTTTTACATATTTTTAAGGTTCCTCCTGTTTCTTTGCCAGGAATGGTGATTGTTGTCTTCGTGAATTTTCTTCCAGAAAATACTTTATGTTCAAGGTTAAATTGATAATTTCCATGAAGGTATAAACCTTTTATTATAAGACTAAAAAGTTGATCCAAATCGATGAACAGGTTTTCCATAATACAGTATGTACTTTATTTTTTAACCCCAAAGCTCATTTACCATTATTTACTATTCAACCCAATGATAAAAAGGGGAAAGGAGAAAAATAACAGCTCCAATCTAACATTTTTAAAATTGATATCTAGCGATCTAGTCTATGAAATCTAATTTATATTCTTCTTAAATCAATACGAAAATGGTAAACTAAACTGATTTGAGTTCAAAATATTATAGTTTGAACGAAGAAAATTACAGCGATTTATTTTCCCGTTTTTTAGCTTTTGAACTACACAAAGGCATGATATAAGAAATTATCCTAGTATCTTCCTGAGCCTTGGTGAAATTATTTAGAAATTACTTTTGGTAATTTATTGGGCTGAATGTATCTCTTTTTTCCTATCGCTATATATATTTTTTCTTATGTTTCTTTCAAATATTTTGTTTCTGAAAAGTTTCATTACCTTTGCTTAAGCTCCTCAAAAGTATCAAAGTTGCAATATATATTTATATTTATATTTATATATAATCAAATCAGTACGCTTGATCTGTTACTTTTATCGTGCCCTATCTTACTTTAGTTACTGCTCTTTTACCCTACGAGCGGGGTAATGATGTATAGCCGCGGCCAAGGGCTCCCCATCCTGTGGTTTGTTTTGCTCTGCCTTGCATTTTGCCTTTTTGTACAGCCGACGCATGGTGGAGGTGATGCGTTTCTCCCGCGTACGCGGCGGCAGCGCACCCTGCACGTTGGTCGCCTTGAGCCTAGTATGGATGACATCAATAAGGACGTCGTTTTGGTATCCATCGCCGAGGAGCTCTCGCTTTTTCTCCCTTTTAAGCAAGGCTCCGTCGACACTATCGCCCTCGAAAATCTCGCTTTTGACGGCAGTTTTGATCCACTCTGGTTTTACGTCTTTATGAACCACAAGTTTGAGGACCTGGAGTGGGCCTCGTGCAGCGGGCAGTGGCGACCCGAGTGGTCTTCGCCACTTCCGTATGAAGTGGATGATGAAGATCGTTTTTTTACAAAGGAAAATATCACCACCACCGAAGAAGGCTCCAATAGTCCTCCGGTTCCCCATGAACACACCTTTGAATATGTACGATATATTTTATCCCACCACGATGCCTGTTCTTTATCGAGCTTTTCTTTTTGCGCGCACAGCGACACGGAGAGCCCTACTCATCAATTTCAATGGGTAGCGGAATTTATGTCTACGCTTTTATCCTCTCCATTGAGTTGGACCGACCAGTCATCACGCCATAGCCGTCCATGTGGTACAATTTTCCAACCTTTATCGGATTCCCCCAAATCTTCGACGAATATGCGCAATTCAGCGAATCCAAGTGCTAGCTGGTGTTCTTATCACCAAATCTTCCATGACGTTATCTGTTCTCATCATTTAAATTCCTTGCTGAATGGTGGTCGTCACTTTGATGGGGAAAAGGGTAGTTTACCTGAAGGAATTTTCAGTGCCGTCTTCCCTTCGTTTAATGACTTTTTTTCAGCCCCTTTTGCTCATGTGCATTTCCGCGCAAAACAGGAGTTGCAGCCTGGAAGCGCAGGGGAGCCTACTGAGTTAGAGCTGCGCATTCAAACTCGAATGTCTTTCGTCCTTACGAATGAAGTGTTAATCAATCAAACGGCTATGCATTGGCTCAAAACTCTCCAACCCTACTCTCAGGGAGGGGACCTCTCCATTTACGTCGGGCGCGGCGGATTACCAAAGCCTCTAGACAAGGCTCTTCCCATCGAACATGGTCAATTAAGGCGTATTCTCTTTCCTTACAAACTTGCAGTGAAACCTACGGTAGCGCTTCCTGAAACCCTCAATATGTTGCCGGAAGAGAGGGAAAGCGCGCTGGAAATGCTGAAGCACCTAAGTCGACCTGATGTAAAATACAGCTTTCGTCCTGTCGGCAAAGATCACGGCTATTTAGTAGTGACACTGCAGCCCTCGCTGCTTCTTTCCGTTTGTGAACTATCAAGACGATTTAGCGGGGTTTTTCCTGATAAGCTGGGCCCTGCACATATGCCCTTTAAGGAAGGCGATGTTGTATACTCGTTATTGTTTTTCCCTCTTCACCTCGTGAGGCCTCGTTTTTACAATATGGAGTCGTTGGCTGGATCTACGGAAGTGGAAAATTACATGACAGATGTAAGTACCAACACCTTTACGATATTGCTCAAGACCAAGATCACCTCTCTACACGTTGAAGTTTATCGCCTTATCCTCGAGCGGGCAGTGCAACGAACACAGGACTGTCAGGATTGGGAGATGGAGTCATTGGAGTTGTCAGGCTTGCTATTGGCACGCTTTCAGTTTTACAACGGCTGGACGGGGTTGCAAGAGATGCCACAGAATGCAAACGGCTATCGCATTATTCCACAACCCATCGTTTTCATTGAGCGTGAAGTCAAATGGGCGGAAACGACGGACAAAGCTGTGTCATGTTCGGTGATTTGCCAACGCGAGAACCTATTTTCTGAACTAACCCACATCGATATTTTTTTGAAGCTTCTGCAGGCTCTACGAAAACCATCCCAGGGTTCCAACTATATGGAAACAGACAGCTTTGGTGCGAGCTCCGTCAGCTCGGTGCCGAGAGATGCCAGTACCTGTCGTTGCCAATACGGAGTCCGTGCAGCGCCTGCATCAGGTGTGTTTATTCCCGAGCCGGATGCGTCAATGGAATTTAACTTTGTTGTCCTGGGGTTGATGTTCGCTTCTATTGCGGCAGTTTTGCTAACAAAAGAAGCTTTGAAGTTAGCATCTCTTGATTTAAATTCAGAGAGCCAGGTTCATGGGCTACTAAAAGATGAAATAAATGGGCGCTCTAACGAATCTGATGAACTTCTAAAAAAGAATCAGTAAGATACTCATACTGCAACAACATCAACAGCAACTGAATGCTCGAAGCGGCTCGATGTGGGATATGAGCCCTATTCTCAGGATTGCTTACCCATTTCATCAACTCTATGGTAACATTCTTCCCCCCTTAACTGATTATTCCTTTCCCCTTGTTGAACATCACAAGCTTCCTTAAAATACCCAAAAAGGTTTATTATTAACATTTTTTTATTTAACGCGCGTATTTTTTTCCCCCCCCAGAATAGTCCTCAAGGAAGAGTACCAATTAAAGAAAAAACATCAACACCGCAATTTTTCTCCTTCCCTAATGAGCCGAACACTGCCAAGTTATTCCTTGCGTGACTGTACGACGGCTGTAGATAACGCGGCCAACATCCTCAATGGGTACCCCTCGCGTCTGGCCCGGAAGGACAAAATGTGGACCCATGCCCTGACTCCGGCCGTGCCGCCAGAGGGGGAGGACTCCCAGCCCTTTCAGCGGCCCGCAAAGGGGGGGGCGTCCCCGCAGCACAGCCCGGCGTTCGGCACGCGGCCCCCAACCTCGCGGACGCGGTCGGCCCCGCGCTCGGTGACGGTGTCCCGCCACGACCCCTATAGCCTGAGCCTGCTACACAGCCCATGTACCCCTATGGATGGCTTCCTTGCGTCCTACTCCGACACGGGGGGCCCACCGAAGAGCGTGACGCCGCTCAGCGAGTCGCAGGGGGCGTCGCCACCATCCTCGCTGCTGACGCCTTACGCAACGTCTCCGTTACACAGCGCCGGAGGGGGGGGGGTCCCTGACAGGATCTGGGGGAGATGTATGGCGGCCTGTCCCCGCTGCGCCCGCACGGAACTTTCTCATGTCCATTTCCCTCCAACCTAACGCCCTGGGCGAGGCCCCGGCGAGCGCGAAGTCACCGGAGCTTGAAAGTCGCTCCACAAGCGCGGTCGTGCAGTATACGGTGGATCGATCGAAGGGACGCCCTATTCCTGTGCGGAAGATGACATAAAATATGATCCATGTTTAACTATGAATACTTTCAATACTGACTTCAGGCATATATACTCTGTTGTCTTCAGTATGCTTTTTAAATACTAAAAAGGGAAAAGAACAAAAATTGTTCTAGGTCAAAGTCAATTGATGTGAATTCCCCAAAGGCATTCAACGTATATCTTTTTTTTCTTATTTAAATCTATATTTAATCGAATTAATCAGTTAGCAATTCGATACCGAGGAGGAACAAATTCTAACGGAAAAAAATCAAAGCTCGGTGTAAGGGGGGAGGGGGAGGGAGGGGGGAAGACTGCAAATATCCCTAGGTGAGTGCAGTTGTAAGATAATTGTATGCAAAACAAGCAGACAAAAATTACCCTTGGCATTCTTCCTTTCACATTAATTTAGGTTTTCCGTAACAATTTTTCCAATATTTTCTTTCTCCCCTACTCGAGAAAGGAACCTTTGTTCCAGAAACATCTAAAGGTTTATTAATGGTTCAACAAAAAAACGGATAACATCGAAAGTTTTAGCTTTCTTTTTCTGTGTGAGTGTGTGTTTATGAAGCACTCCCTGTTTTAAAACATCCCCCCCCCCCCTTCCGCTTCTATTCGCTTAAAAGTTTCATTGCACTTTGGTGTTTGAAGTAACGTGTTTTTTTACACGTTTTTATTTGCTTCCTCTCTTTAATGCAATCTTAAAATTGTGATTCCATACGGAAAATATTTTAAGAGAACAATATATGAGGGAAGGGGTCCATACAAGAAGCATCTTCCTTTTCCTTGTTCGTGCTTTGTACATTATAGGTATAGAACAGAAACTGGTTAGAGCTGAATTATATTCCATAAATATATACTTTTGGCTTTTTAAGTTATTCAAATGGAGCACGAAAACGAAATAGTTCTTGAAAATAATAGCGAATAAGGGTGGGTAGGGTGGGTGGGTTGATTACCGATTAATCGCGTAAATGCTGAATAATAACTTTGATGACCTAGTCCATTTCTTTGTCTTTTATCCTTGCTAACCCTAAAGATAACAACCCTGGGGAACATATTCTATTTTTACTGTAGAATCAGAATTTTGTAAGATTTTCTAGTGCGCAAAATGGTTCGAAGATATTAATGAGAAATAAAATGAACGGGATTTATATCCTTTTTATTATTATGAATATTAGCACTGTCATATGTCTAGTGCTTTCCTATGGGCTTGGATTACAGAGTTATAGGGATAAAGGTTAGCAGTAGCTTAGAATTATTTTAATCTTTTGAATTTATCCCCCTTATTACTAGCTATCAAAAAATTAATAGGACTTTTTAAGTTTTCTTTGTTTTTCCCCATTTCTTTTTTGCAACAAAGTAGGGTTTTAACTATTTTTAAAAACTTCTCGCTTTCCAAATTTATGGTGATTATAAAAAGGAAAGCATGTTGTTGTTTGCGTAAGGGAATGCTTTAAGCAAAAGAGGATTAAAAAAAGGCGAACTGAGGAATCACTGCGGCTTGCTCATCATGCTTTAACTCTCTCTTTTTTCAATATGTATATATAAATATACGTATATATATTTATATAGGTATTCATCTATTTATATTTTAAATATATTTTCAGAGCTGTTGCAAGGATTTTCTACTCACATATATATATATATATATATATATGAGTTTCTCTGTATACTCTT